TATGTTTCTTATTGGAAATGCAACAGCATATACTTATGTACTGTAATTTGTCTTTTGAGCTGTAGATGGCACTGTAGTGCATTGCTAGTCTCTATGTGCATGCTTATCTATGATACACAGGAAGTTTTTCTTTTTTTCTCTCTATGTTTCCAGCACAATGTTGCATACACATATGTAATGTTCTTCTAAGAAACGTAAAACTTAATTCAGCATTCCTACAAAAGTAAACAGTACTTAAAAAGGTAAGCAGCAATTTCATTTTTATTTCTAAGTAGTGCGATGTAAATAGGAACCCTGTACAAGAACTAAGTTTAGTCTCACTATTCAACTACTGCCCAAGTACAAACACTTATTCAGGTGTAAAAGACAGCACCTGTCCAATCTACATCTAGTATACATTGGTCCCAAAATCCCAGAGGGCCTTTGTGCAGTTACAGAGTCTGCAGAGATAGCATGTCTGACCCTGTGGACAACAGAGTCAAGTGTTTTATGAATCACTAAACATTTTTTTCTCTAGTTTTAGATAGCACAGTGAAGGGTTAGATCCTGTGTCAGGTTTTTATTGCTGTGTCCCAGCTGGGGTAATTCACCCTTATTGTTTGTCATCGCCATTGATAGCAGAGCAGAAAGTGAGGGGAAATCCAATATTTTATAGTTGTCCAGAGGCCAATCTTTAGGTAAAAGCTGTCCAAGATGGGAATTCCCCTCCCTTTTGAAGAGATTTCCTCTCACTTCCTATTGTGTCTCTAGGACAGGATGTGAAAAGGAATATACTGAAGGGGGTTTACAATTTTCTTACACTATCCAATACTAAACAAAATTTGGGTTGTCATCCGTGTATTGTTTTTTTTAATGGAGTAGAAACTGAGGAATACATGGTGATTAGTTTGTTCATATAAAATACATTGAGGGGAATTTATCAAAACTGGAGCAGAGACAACCTGGAGAAGCTGTGCATGGCAACCAATCAGCTTCTCTCTTTCATTTTTAAATCTTAACTGACCAAACTAAAGAGAAAAGCTGATTGGTTACCATGCACAACTGCTTCAGATTTTGTCTGCTCCAGTTTTGATAAATTCCCCCCATTAATTAATTGCTGGGATTCCAACTGCTATTTACAGTTATTGCAGAGGGAATCCAGATGACTCACAAACCAAATACAACTGTCACCACAGGTTATCAAAGGGACATTCTGGCATAGGAAGATCAATTTTCTAATGCTATTCTCTGTAGTACTTTTGCATGGTATTAAACTGTGCCCAATGCATTACAAAAGTGATATACAAATCTGTAAATACAAAGAATAATAGCAATCAAAACAAGTTCCATGACTATATTTAAGTACACAGTTATGGGCTATGCAGTTTTACAGAGGGAACAGATGTTAAATGAGTTGCTCAGACATGTGCCATGATCACGCTTTTGCAGTGTCTGAGTTTTACCTGTATTACAAGAAAAAGTACCATATGTCCCAGCCACCAACACCATCAGCTTTCAATCAGGACATTGTCTTCTCCAAAATATCTGTTTGGCAATGCAGGCTTTGTTGGAATGAGTTTACTCTCATTCAAGGCAGTTTTGTGTAATTTTGTGAGATTGTAAAATCTTCAGATTTGGACTCACAAGTGGCACACATTCTGACATTTTTTCGTTTGGAAAAAAGGGGGTGCAGTGTGACTATGGGAAAAAAATGTAAAAGTGTATATATAGCCAAAACCTTATTATTTATTTATTTTTGGTTTTGGATAGAGTAGGAAAGTTGTTTTTTTTTTGCTGACTTTGTAGCATTTGGGACTTTTCTCTTCATTTTCTGTACCCATAATGCAACAGGAAGTAAGAGAAAATATCCCAAAGTAAGGAGAAATTCCATCTTTGACAGTTATCCCGGAACAGATGTCCCCTTGAAAGATTTCCCCTCTCCCCCCCCATCTCTTCTTCTGAGGGCAAACCTCGGTGACAATGGTCACAAGTACAGTAAATCTCTCCAACAGGGAAACAGAGAGAGAGTCTAACCCTTCTCCAGTTTATCCTAAATAAAGTAATCATAATAATAATAATGTACAATTTAGATGCCTGTGAGATTCACGAGTGCAGTTAAGAGCTACACTGTTTTGAGTAGTTGAACATGTAAAAAGATTTTAAATAATACAAAAGCTTTAACATGTTGCTATGTATAAGGAACCTCTCATGAACCCCTCATGAACCTTGCTGTTCAAGGGGGTCTTTGGAAAACGCATTGGAAGACAATTACCTAGCATAGTGAAAACTTAGGCGGCATCCAGGGTTTTATCCAGTCTGGTCAGAGCTTCTGCGCCCATGATGGTTTCATCATTGTTTATATGTATAAAGTCTACTGAAAGCACAGCAAATACATATGCAATAACATTGCTATGTGTTTTACATGTTTATGAATGCCTATCATTTTTTTTAAATGAATCTGTATGTCTACAAAAAAAACAAGACTATATAAAAAGCTGTATAAATCCTGTATAATAATAATAATATAATCACATGAAAACAGTGTAACATAAATATTAAGGCTTAGACTACTGAAAGGAAACTGTAAATATGAACGATTGCGTTGTTGCTATGAATTTTGACTTCCTTTACTGTTTACCCGAGCTCAGGGTTTATTTCTAGCTCTTTAGTGTACAGTGGGCTGGCAGTGCTCTGCTCTCAGTTTTCAATCTGATACACTAAGTAGGGCGTATACCATATCATATTACCAAGTGCTAAAGCTCTCTCCACAGCAGAGCTTAAACATGATAAGAATAAGGCACAGAATGTACAAATACCAAATGTACTGAACAAGTGACAGGAAACAGAAATGTGAAATTCATATAATAAACGGAACTATAGTTATAGATACACATTGTCTCTCAATGTGTGCATTGGTATACAAACAACACTACCATAACCTGTATTGCTTATAATTTAGGCAGGGATATGAGATAAGGAATATATATATTGATTTGTTTTAATTGTACCCACCTTAACAATAATTCATTACATTCATGGCACCAAACTAAACAGAGATGCCAAACTTGTTGCTGTTGTTTAAGTCATGGTTTTAATGCAAACAACTGAGGCAGCATACATGGAAAAATACATAAGGTCAAATAAATAAGAATAATCTTACAGCTGAAGTTAATGCAATGTCATAGCAACGGCAAAGTAATGCCTATTATAATGATATAGAAAATGCATTATAACTTAAATGTACTAACATGTTTTAAAATGAACAGGCTATTGACATATCTCTCGCCTTTTTACTTCGCCTTGCCAGATTCTTGCTGTGTTTATCACTGGGATGTGATCACGCTGAATCTTACCTACATTAATGACTTGGAACGAGGGAAAACAAAAATAAAATGATGCAGATGTCTTTTAAAGTGAAATGTTAAAAATGTATTATGATGTTTAAAAATACATACAATATTATGCAAACATTTTGTAATGGGAAATACACTATCCTTGATATAATGTATGTCTTCCTAACACTGCTATATCTAATATTAATTCATGTAAGCAAATATGGCTATCACATTGTTGCTAGCACAGTATATCACTTGAACTTAGTAAACCTATTCTATAGGTAATAAATATACTTTATGTACTGAAGGCAGATACTAATCCTCTACCAAACACTGAGCTCTAACCAACTGTTATAGATATATATGGACCACCCCATTTAAATAAATAGTTAATGTTTCTCATTTTATGTTTAACCATTTACAGATCTAGCTACCAATGTATTTTGGTTAACCTGTGAAATCAGTGCAAAACTACTTGGAAACAACCAAGTATGACTAGGGCTTGACATATCAAACAATATAAAAATAACATGAAACAAAATTAACTGTGGTTTCATGGCAAAAAATAACTATAAATTATACTTTGTTACATCTTTATTCTAACCTTTTAAAGCAATCATCTATTACAGACTAGTAATTATCGACATGAAGTTTGACAATACTAATACTTAACTTGCTTTAATCTCTTTGCACAGCAAAGACCTTCCAAAATGTATCTAGATCATAAAATAGAAAAACTTATATAAATAATCCTTAGCAACTTAAATGACAATAACAAAAGATAAACAGGCTTACTGTCTATATTAAGGCATAGAGCAACATGCAGTGTGTAGTTACCCATGACAACCATTGAGTTGTAATCTTTCATTGAGTTTTCTGGAGAGGTGAAATCTGGTTACTGGGGGTTACTGCAAATAATTGCTGTTAGCATTGCCTTATTAAGCCTTAAAGGCATTTTCTTTCACATTATGTATGTGCTCCTGTAAATAATAAATGTAGATAACAAAGCTGTTTCAAATAAAGTTAAGTTGATGTCACAAATCACATTATAAAATAAAGTTAACCTTCTCCCTTTTATCATTTAACATACTGGTTCTGCAAAAATATAAATGTTCACTGGGATTTGTTTACTCTGATATATTACTTTGCTACATTAATCCCTACACTTACTTTGCTGAGATATATTATAATAATTGCCTAAGGCTGCATTCATTCGATAACAGGGCAGAGGACTACTGTCATGAACACAAGTCCTGTAAACGTACAACTATTCCCAGAGCTTAAGAATACAAACTGGTCTTCCTAAAACAGAAGAATCCCTAGTAAACAAAGACAAGTATGCAATATAAATAACCATTTAAAGGTAATTCCTGAATAATTCACTGGGTTTCTGTATGTGCTTGTAGCTAGTGAAGTACATTAATTTCCCCTATTAAATATTTGATTTACAAAGGCATTGGTTTACACAAGCTGTACGTGTTAAGAGTCACTGTTGCTTTTTATGCCGAAGGTGCAGACTGACTGCTTGTGTGAATAGGAGAAATAGGCCAGGTATTATACCGGAGGAATGAAAGGGGCATCTGAAAAGACAGAGCTGACAGAATCTGAGTCAGACTTTGATCTGCTGTTCTTTAAGATGCTCTCTGCTGTGAGATTGTCATTGGTAATCAGTCTGACTTTTCCATTTTGACCTTGCTGTGCTTCCTTGACAGGCTCCATAAATACAACCCGTTTTCCAGTGCTGGATTTCCTTTCAGCATGGGGCTCATGAGATGGTGTGGCATTTATGACAGAGGAGTGGGCACTGCTTTGGTTTTGCTTTCTTTTTTGTTTCTTTGATCTACACCAGCATCGGCAGGGTGTCAGATAAAGGTAGAGAAGGACCAAAACTATGCTGACTATACAAGCAGCAAGTGTAGTAAAGGCAGTGTTGAACGCCTCATGTGCATGAGACTTGTGGCTTGTAAAATTACCCACGGTTATTCTAATATCTATACTCTCATTAATCATTCTTACTTTGTTTATTGCGATGCATGAATAAACTCCCGAATTTGCGATCTGGGCATCTTCAATTTCAAGACTCCCATTGTTAAACACTCGGAAATGGTCAACCATGGTTTCAGGTTTTAGTATTGTGTCATCAGGGCTTATCCACATAAATTGGGTGTTGATATCGATAATCTTGCTGTCACAATGTACCACCAGCCTTTCTCCAACCTGAGCCTCATACAACACGCCAAATGCATGAAATGACCCATTTACAGCTTTTTCAGAGCAGTTGAGAAAACTCTCTTGGATAAGAGGAATTTTTTTAGGCTCAGACAGTAAAGTACAGGCATAATAGGTTTTAAAATCCACAACTGGACTAAACTGTCTATGATGCCAAAAGTTTAGCATTCCGTTCAGATTGCAGTCACATGAAAAAGGGTTTCCATGAAGGTAAATGCCACTAAGTTGCCTTGCTGAGATTAAGCTTATTTGCTGAACAGGCACAGATTGCAAGTTATTATGAGATATGTCCAACAATACAAGTTCTGTAAGTTTACTTCTGCCAGAGTACAAGTCCAGTGGGAAATGTGTCAGTGCATTATAGCTCAGATACAATTTTTGCAAATTGTGGAGGCCTCCGAATGCCCCAGAATCAATATGGGTTAACTGATTGCTGTACAGAAGTAGAACTTCTAGCATTTTAAGTTCTTGAAAAACTGGATTGCTCAGTGTCCTCAGATTATTGGAGGATAAGTCAAGATACCTCACATTTGGGATGGTGGAAAAACTACCACTAGAGATGCTGTTAATAATGTTATGATTTAATATCAAAGTGTGTAATTTCTCAAACAAGATGGGGAACCAGTCCGGATCCAGAAAACTTATTTTATTGTAGCTTAAATCCAGCTTTCGAATAAATTTAAAGACTGCCCTGGGCACTACAGACAAGCTCTTGTTAGTGCAGCTTACAATATCACTGGCACAGACGCAACCTTGAGGACACACCCCAGGAGGTGCACCACCAACACTGCCGATGATGCACAGCAAAAACACATAGGCGAAGCTTTTCCATTTTGTGTGGACATTCCCAAATTCCATGGACCATAAAGGACAAAAGAAATACATCATGTCTTGTTTTTCAGAAGGTACCCAATGATGCTCACAAATCGTGCACTCAATCTTGGAGGTATCTTAAAGAAGCATTTTGCCACAAATGTTTTCCTTGCAGCTGCATTCGCCTGACCACTAAAATAAAACAGACTCAGTTTAGTCAATTCAACTTAAGAAATTTTAAATTAAGAAACGCTAAGAAATCACACATTGTGGTGGAACATATAAGTGGAAACAATCATAATCACAATTGAAAGTTTACACAACAACACAGCAAACATGCAAGAAAGTTTGTAATCAAGAGAATCTGTAAGCCAAACACAAGCTTGCAAAATTAAAGCTAAGAACATTGATGCATATGAAAAGCACGGTACCTGTTATTTCATAACATTCACTAGCTGATCTTTACATTTGGACAAGTCCTCCTTTCTGACCTTTCTTTGTCTTCATTCATTGCCACTGTGTATTGTAACAGCAGGGAAGTTTCAGAGGCAGCAGGGAAACAGGTTTGCAAGCTGTGCGCTGTGTTATCCTGTCTGATCAAGGCTGCTTGCCTTCAAGAGAAGCGTATATGTGAGCTGAGCCTGCCCAGCCTCTGTTCACCTGTGCACTGTGATTGGCTGCAGTCAGCCTAGAGAAATATACAAAGCTCACTGATGAGGGCACAAGCAGCACAGATGCTGCTGCCTATGTCTACAGGCACTGGATCCCATCCCCCCTCCCCTCTCCAGCAAAGCCTATGATGTTGTGTGTATCCCACTCTCTCCTTTCATTCTGTTCACTTAAAATGTTTGCATATTGTGAGCAAATTCCATTTCAGTTACCCAAGGGATGTATTGTTCAGACTTCAGTCCCGCCAAGCGTGAAGAGCCTTACCGCTATTGCACGATAAGGAGAGGCATTCCATTATCACCAATCACAGCTTCTCTTACAGTTACCCACCTGAAAGAGAAAACATTTGCAATATTTAAAGAAGCATTAGTCATTGTTATAAAGGCTCGGAAAAAAAATACTTATGTTTTTTTGTCACTTGGTGACCGTATCGAGAGCTTCTGAAAATCTCTGACTACATAGCAACAGCACATACCAGATCTATTACCCTGGAGAGGCACCAGCACACGGCTAATTGCACATCAAAATAGAGTCTTCTGTTCCAACTCTGTAGAATACGCACATATGTGAGGTTTTTTCTTCGTTAGTAAATCAGCCACTGTAGGAAAATATGCATTCATAATCAGTTTAATAATAAATTAGTATTGATCACTTGGCGTGGTGTTAAAATATTGTGCGGTGAGTACATCATAAGGGGCACACATGCTTAGCTTAAGCTTAGGTTCTGCTATGGTGCCCATCAGGGGGTAGTTGTTGCCATTTCTTCTCCTTTCTCAGCAGCTAGCTAGTAGGAAACACAGACGAAGATAAATTTAGTCAGATTCCAATCAAAAGAAAGCTCTAGTAAGAGAAATATTAAAGCTGTGATAATTATAGGTGCCTGGCTGTCTCTGGCTTTAATACCTTCTGAGTAATTGACCTAAAAAAAATGCAGCCAATTATCCTCATGAAAAGCAAAATTTCCAGACAGTGCATGCTATATTTATTCCATATGCATCAAAACAAAAGGTGAGCAAAACCATACAAGTTGTTTCCTTTAGAAAGCAGCCACAGCCTAAGTAGAAAAGCTTGTCCCTTGAAAGTATGGTGAATTTACGGACCATTGCGCTCCGTGTGGAAGCAGTGGTTGCTCTGTTGAGGTCTGACACCCCATCCCTTCAGCTATGTCACACCTAGCACTCTATAATCAGAAGGGTTCATAAGAATTGCTAAGCTATATGTCTGACTCAGCAAGGGGCATGCCAAACCTCTGCAGGGAGACCACTGTTAGTGTTTTTACACAAAGAGCAAGGGTCCTTTTAGGCCATGCTCACACGTTGAGGATCCGTGACCGCACGGAAAACCGCGCAGTCAAGGAGTCACCCACCACGACGATCATGCTGGCGGTACTATTATTTTCCTGCCGCGATTCCGCCCGTGCAAACCAAACACGATCGTGGCTAAAACAGCCACACGCCGTGCACTGCAAAAAAAGGTACATGTACCTTTTTTCTGCAATTGACCCATGGTTTGTGCCCCATTGAAATCAATGGGGCCGCACGGCAATCACTGTCTGCAATTGTACGCGACCGAGCGATTCCGGGACCTGCATCACGGATCGCTCAGGTCTGCTCCCGCCCTCATGCAGCATGCTGACAGGGGATGTTGCAGACCTTTCGTTTTGTTGCACCTGGAATATACTGTATTACCTGATTAAAACTTAAACGTTCAAAAGAGCTTTAGTGATCTTTTTACATTTTCTTGGCTTTTCTTTTTTTTGGATACATGACCAGATAATTGTCAGTCAAACTATCACAGCAGTGGAAAATGGCCTAGTAATAGAGGGGTTATATTACAGGCTGGTACTCAAGTAGTTAACATTACCAATTTATTAAACCTGGTGGGAACTGCTTATTAGTACGTGTTAGCTACATGTACAACTATATGATTATATCCTTTGATGTGTCATTACCTTCTGAGAATACAGTCACTGCCAACAATAGTTCTATATCTGAATGTATACACAGTAAATTGACTAGAAGTAATCTGCTGAATTTCTTGATAGTGTTTACATGATATGACAAGCATTTTTATCTAATACAAGCAGACACATTTTAATACAGCTTGAGCAAGAAGCATGGCATTACATCTAGTCAGTAGGAGAAAGAAAGGAAAATACAAAGTGCAAAACACTTGATTGCTGAATTCTGTTACAGGAGGTAGGGTTTGGTTTTCTTCCAGATGATTGCAAGCACGGGATTATTAGTCTCACACAATGCAAACATCTGGAGCTACAGACAAAATGAATTACACTACAGTACAAGGAGACAGCAAACAATTTTACCCAGAGATTGTACAGACTACAAAGCAGTTCCTCTGAGCTGGAATGGATTTATCAGTCATCTATATTTCATTATAGAGCTTCTTAAGACGTGGAATAGCAAATACAGTGTAGAAGGAGAGTATTGGTGGGAAATACAGGCACATCAATATAAAATATTTTTTTTCACAGTGTGGCATGGTTACTTTTATCTAGTGATGCGCAAACCAGGCAAAGTTAGGTTTGCAGGAAATCCGGTAAACCCAAACATAGTGCAAAACCCAAATTAAGTTTATGAGAGCAAAATCTTGTTTTTTTTGTTCAAGGCCAGTTTGCAAGCTTTTGTTAAAAACAGCATACAGTAGGTAGCTGGGAATTGTCATAGAATATGTACGTACATGTATGTATGCAAAGAATGTTAAAAACCAAAACATGTCATCCATTGATATACATTCACAATGATCTTCATCCGCCACTACTAACATCACAGATGACAGCTGCTCAACACCACTGGAATGTAAAAACATCTGTGGGAATCCCAGGTGCTGTCATTAATCAAAAATGGGCATGACCACATTTGGTCAGTAACATCACCCAAGCTCCCTGCTCCCTTTGCTTACATTCCAGTGACTCCAAAGAGCTATAATTTGTGTTGGGAGTAGCGGCGGAGCAGCATCATCATGGTGGTGGGTAGTTGTGGTGAAGGGTCAACTTCTTCAGGTGTCATTCATCATGATCAATCTAAATTTTTCTTTAATAAAATACTTTTTGTATGGTGTGGGTGGCTTTATTTACTATTTCCTTATGAAGTAATTTCCTTATGAGTAACAAGGGGTACTATGTACTCCATACACTAATTCTAAAGGGGGCTTCCACATCCCACATTCACTGCCCCCTTGCAATACCCTCCCAATGTTGAGGGCATGTGGCCTATTATGGTTCAAGAGGGGGGCCCACTCACTGCCCCCCACCTTGCTGGCCAGCCAGGTTGCATACCTGGATAAGAGTCTGGTATTAATTTTTATGGGGAACCCAATAACGTTTTTTTTATTAATGAGAACATTTGCATAGAGTTCCCCAACAGTTCATAAAAGATCCTTATCCAGGCATGCAGCCACAACATTTGGAGGGTACCTTCAATAGGTGGGCAGCCAACTTCCCCCCTGCTCCAGTAAAAGGCAACTTGTCATGTTGATGGGGAAAAGGACCGCACCCCACAACCTATCCCCCAAAAGGGATGTGGAGGTTTGTGGGGGGAATTATTGGAATTTGGAAGCTCCCTTCAGAATACAGGGGACCCCAGATATCCACCCCCTAAGTGAATGATTATTGGTTACATAATACCTCTTATGTCGGGGGAATATGTGTGTTCTTCTAAATATACTTCACATCAGAACAAAGATCTACCACATGTTCATGACCATAAAATGGAAGACATCGCTCTCTAACAGGAAATGAACAAATCTTAGTAAATCTGCTCCAGTGGGGATTTGATGCAGTGGAGAATTTAATTCACTAGGCATGTGAGCCAGAAAAAAAATTGGTTCAGTTTGTTTCAGATTTTTAGTTATTTTGTTTTTCGGGTTTTGGGTCCAAAACTCAATTTGTTTCAGGATTCGGATCTCTAATTTTTGTTAATTTTGGTTGAGTTAAATAATATTCAAGTGGCATTAGAAAAAAAAGTTAAATTTTTATTTTTAACGTTTGACAGTCCACAGAAACAACAATAATAATAATAATAATAATAAAACAGCGTGCAGCTCCCCTCCTGCTAATTAATACAGAATCCTTAAGGTCTAGTAGGAATTTTAGGGGGACCCCAACGCCAAAAAAAAAAAAAA